CCTGGTGAAATAAAACATTGCTCACTAAATAACATCATAAGAGCCACAAACTGTTTTAACAAAAATAGAGAATTGCCTTTGTTCTCTTCAGAATTACTTTTGGTTCATATACTTATAAGGTGCCCTTTTTTAAAAAAAGTGGCATGGGTATATGAACTACATCTAGTGATTTCTATTACTATTCTGCAAATGATGAGGGGAAAATATTTTTTGTAATAACTCATAAGCTTAGAGACAGTGACGTTCTCTGCCATTTGGAGGGGTTCTTTATATTGCGTAGACGGTTTTCACTAAACACATAAGCATATTTAACTTTTTTCTGTATCATTTCAAGGTGTTCTTTTTTCCCCACTGTGGAGGAAATATGCATTCAGTGGTTTTAAGTGGAGCATATGCCTCTGAGATCAATGCGGCTTAACGCTCTGTCTTGTGTTGTGTGTTTGTTTAGGCACCTTAACAATGAACATGCATTGGACGACAGAAGCACTGCCCAGTGTCGAGTGCAAATGCAGGTGGTGCAACAGTTAGAAATACAGGTTTGTCACAGGCTCCCTTAGTGGCCTCCTTCCTCTGACTTCTGCTTTTGAAACTGAGGACTGGGCAGATCCAGTGTCTTCTAACACAATGACTCATAGAAATACATGGAATTTTAGGTTGTTTACAATGACAGTAGATTGCTGTAGTTTAATGTACTTACCACTTAGATTTATATAACCTTTAGATGACCTCGTATACATTTGTCTATCCCCAAAGAGTCAAATCTAAGTTTTCCCTAATAAGGGTTAGACCAAAACCCCCCAAGTGGATATGATTTTATCACAGAGACAGTTTTTACATGAGCTAATAATGATTTTTCCATGAGATTTTTATATTAATAGCGAAAAGCCTTTACAGTATTATACCTGTAATTTAATACCCTAAAAAAACCCTTTCTCTTTTCTAACTCTATTGTATTACTTTTTTTATTGAAGTATAGTATATTTTTAATTAGAGAATTTGCAAGGAGTTCTTAAGATTTGTCTTGAATAGAGTAATGGCAAATCATTTATAATATCACAGATGGTGATATGTATATTATATCAGATGCTGCTAACTTAATGTTAAAAAATTACTGTTAATATTGAAACAGAATTGGCCAAAAATAAATAGAACTCATAAAACTGATCAGAAAACAATTATATCACTCTCAGTATCCTTATCCATGTTTTTCCTAACCCTTTAAGGCTTCCTGTAATATTTCAGCTTAAAGATTATTTCTTCTCAATCAAACCAATACCTTGTTTCATTTAATTAAACATACAGTTTCTTTGTCTTCACACTTTACTACATCTTAAATTGTTTTAAATCCATCATTCACGTAAATGCCATTGCTTTTTTTCCAGAGCTACTAACAATACTTTATTTTTACTTGTAAAATAATCAAGAACACATAAAAAAGCATCATTGCTGGTGTCATTTACAAAGCCTCTTTGGGGGTAAACCTGTTTACTGTTTATAAAAGGTAGACTAAAATATAAGAGTTCAGCTGATGATACAGTCTGCAGTGTGACCAATTATGCATCCTTTTTTTTTTTTTTTTTTTGCTGTGTCTGACTGATGGAAAAGTAAGGTCCGTCGCTTGTAATGAGACCCAGTGCAAGTGTAGATGCCTACGCCGTGGCAGAGTTCAGCGTTTCACACTGCCTGGTCTCTGTCACTCTATTGAATTAGATTGATGATGGCAGATTGCAGGGGGCACTAACTGGACCTCAGTGGGAATGCATGAAGTGTGGAGACAATCCTGGCAGGCACTTCGCTTTGAGAACCCTTCACCCCTTCACAGCTGCTGGCACTAGTCCATTGCTAACAGTGTCCACAGGACTTTAAAGAGACACCATGGGCCTTCTAATTTATGGTTTCAGTAACTTGTTACTGTCGAGGCAACTGTGACCTCAATTCTCTTATTGACAAAAAGATGAAGTGTTATTTGTTTTCTCTGACCTTTTAACATAAAGGAAGCTATAAAAGTTTTTTTCCCCCCTCCATAGCTAAAGTTGCATTTCCTCTCAGATAAGTTCTTAGGGACACAGGCTTTTATATGCAGGAGTCATTACTCAGAGACAAGCTCAATGATAAGATGTATCACTGCAATAAAATAGCTGTATCAGTCATTTCTAAAATGCTCCTGATCTCACTCTTTCTTAACAGCTTTCTAAAGAACGCGAACGTCTTCAGGCGATGATGACCCACTTGCACATGCGACCCTCAGAGCCCAAACCATCTCCCAAACCTGTAAGTGCATATTGCTTTATAAACAGTAAATAGCTCTACTGATGTAACCGACTAAGAAAATGAACAATTTAGTGACAGTTAGAAAACAATGAGTGTGATGAAAAATATGGCAATAAAATGAAAGTAAAATGCAATCACTTGTCAAATTGTATGTTTCTTTTAAAGTAATGCTATCTTTTACAAAATCTATCCAATCTACACCATGGGTGACACTAAACAAAGCACACCT